CTTCGGAATATCTAATTTACGAATAAATGACTCTATTATACCCCTTTTAGAAAACAGAATGGATGCACTTTTAGTTAATGGTTATAGATATAGGGTGATTGTTTTTAATCAGCTCCGTTTCATTTACATTTTAAACGGGTCTTAATGAATAAAACTATATCCATGGAAGCGCACAGGCAAATGGAACCCCTAAAAAAGTGATCGTGAATACTCCTAGATAGGCAGATAGATAGATAGTTAGAGAGGGGGGAGTGAAAGGGGGGAGGGGGAGAGAGAGAGACAGAGACAGAGAGAGAGAGAGACAGACAGACAGAAGGAGGGAGGGAAAAGGAGAGAGAGAGAGAGGAAAGGAGAGGGAGGGAGGAAGGAAGGGAGAGAGAGAGAGAAAGGGAGAAAGAGGGAGGAAGGAAGGGAGAGAGAGAGAGAGAGAAAGGGAGAAGGAGAGAGAAAGGAAGAGAGAGGAAGGTAGGGAGGGAGGAAAGAAGGGAGAGGGAGTTAGAGAGAGAAAAGGAAACAAGAAGAGGAAAGACCGTTACAACAATGTTTACCGAGAAAACATGTAAACGGCAGACTGATGATATAATTCCCAAAAAAAGACTTTGAGAAAAAAAATAACATCACAATACAATAAGAGAAACTACATATTGACGTCTACAAATCTCGCTTGTTGCAGGCGGGTGCTTCATCGCCATGTCCTGGGACTGCATAGCGACGTGCACCCAGCCCTGGGCATGTCTCAACAGCAATATGACCTCTGGCACTGACCTGAAGGCGACCCACGTCCCCAGTGACCTCGGCGACGCAGCAGAGGACGGCGGCGAAGCGGAGGGCGTGGCGTCTGAAGGGAGCTGGCTGCTGACGACGCCCAATGCTCGCTTCTACAGGCTCGAGGGCGCAGACGTTCCACCGGTGGAGCTCGTGGATGTGAATATTACGTGAGTTATGGTTAGCATTGTTGTTTGGCGTTGTTGTTATTGTGAGTGGTAATTGTATTTGTATTTGAGTTGTATTAGTGGATGTAGTATGATGTAGCATAGATATAACCATTTATAGACATTTATACACACACACACACACACACACACACACACACACACACACACACACACACACACACACACACACACACACACACACACACACACACACACCAACGCACTTCCCACACCAAACCGAACTCCCTCAAAACATACCACGCCACCCTCTCCCATTCGCCCCATTTTTAATCTACTCCTTCCAAACTCCACTTCAGGCTGGAGTGTACAGGCGGGGAGTGGGAGGGAGACGCCTGCATATCAGCGTGGAGTTATGCGGAGTTCTGGCTGTATTTTCTCCTCTTGATCGTCGGTCAGCTGTGCTTCAACACGGCAAACTCCATCACAGACGCCATTGCTGTTGATTCAGTAGGTGAGAGTGGGGGGGTGGGGGGTGGGGTATGGGGGGGATGAGAGACAGAGGAGTGGGTGAGATTT